GACTATAAAAATGACCTCGTTTGGCAAAGGTGTTGGCAATACAACACTGCTGATAAGAAATACAGCTGTATAATATGATACAGTGTGATGTAATATGATGTAATGTGAAGCAATGCGTTTTATTGCCCGTCAGGGGGATTTCAGATTGGGCACAAGTGGTGCAAATAGCTGCACATGTAGTTACAGAAACACAGGAGTCTTGGTAACAGCTTCTCAATTGCAGTAGTAAGTATAGACAATCTAAAGTATGACAAACACAGTGACAGTTTAAAGTACGCCGATCTCTGCATTGTTTGTCGTTTGAACTAAATTGGTATAGTGCAACAAACACACAAGCGTTTGCAGAGAGATGCCAGGTAATTGTTTTTCACCAGGTCTGCTGTAAAACACGAGGCTTGTCCAGCAGCTGCATGCATCAGTGCTCAGTGACTGACTTCAGGCTGTGGGCTGAAGGATTTTGGGCTGTGGGATTTGGATGTCTTATATCTGTCTAATTCTTTCTCCCGCATGATTTTTCTCTTTTCCCTTCCTCAGACGGTGAAGCAGATGTGGCCGTTTATCTGCCAGTTTGTGGAGAAGCTGTTCAGAGAGACAATCGAGCCGGCGGTGAAGGGCGCCAACCCTCATCTCAGCACCTTCTGCTTCACCAAGATTGACATGGGCGACAAGGTGACAAGATAAGAACACAGTGTTGTGAATGCACTCCAAAAGGCCATGGCAGGACACTTCTGCAATCTGGGTTATTCGTACTAATACACCAGCTAGTACTTTGTTTTATAGGCTTTTATTGCCTGTAGAATAACACTTTTATTTTTAGATGTTAGCTTTGTGGGAAATCCTGGAGAATTAGTGTCAGCACCATCTGTCAGAGTGTACGTGTTCAGATCTTTTATTGCATGTTTCTATTTGTGACTCCTTTATTGACTCGCGTGAACTGATTTAATCAGAACTGGAAAGTTTCTTCGCCGCACACCCAGATTTACCTCACACGTAGAATTATGCAGAGCTGGTAAACATTAAATAAAGCTTTTACTGCATGTCTTCTCTTTTTTTCTGCAGCCGCTGAGAGTGAATGGAGTGAAAGTTTACACAGAAAATGTGGACAAGAGGCAGGTTATCATGGACCTGCAGATCAGGTAGACCGCTCAGATTCATTCATTGTTGAATTCACTTGACTTGGCCAGTGATGTAATCTTAATTGCACTTGTTTCTTTCAAATTATGACTT